GGGGCGCCCCCCGTGCCACACGGCTACACGCGGCATGGGCTAGATAGTTCGAACTACGTAGCCATTCCGAACTATCTGTACGCCTTTTAAAAATGGCAGCTCCCCGCTTATGCTAATGAAGCCCGGGAAATTCAAATCCCGGGCTTCATTAGCAAGTGCGGTATGCCTACATTACCCTCCTAGTTCGAACTAGGAGGGTAGTGTAGACATACCCTAATAGATTAAAGGTAGCACATAAAACACACAGGGTATGTCTAAACAACAAAGTTATTTCGGAATAACGGAATATTGTTCTGAAATAACTATGTGAGCATCTACACAGCAATTCCATTATTTTGAAATAATGGACAGTGTATTCTGACTTTGGTAAACCTCATTCTACAAAGAATAATGCCTATTCTGAAATAGCTATTTCAAAATAAGGCGTGTATAGACACTCCACTTCTGCTATTTCAAAATAGCCCCTCTCCTGGGCTATCCTAAGTTATTCCTTCTTGGGCTCTAAATTGAGATAGAACATCTACATCAGGGAAGCCTGCCTTTGACTAATTTCAAGGCTTTCCTGTAGTGTAGATGTGGTATTTGGAAAGAAGCTATTTTTGAATAACTATTCTGGAATAGCTTATTCCAAAATAACTGCAGTGTAGACGTAGCCAAGTTGGACTTCTCACAGCTTCCCCTTGCCTTTTCCCTCCCTCCTCTCTGGTAGTAGGGACTATGCCCAAGCAAGTCTTTGCCCTCCCTCCTCTCTCTGGTAGTAGGGACTATGCCCAAGCAAGTGAGATGGAAAAAGCTGTGCATCATGCCTCCGCTCTTTCCTGGTGAGTGACAAGCACTAAAACTGTCTGTATTGTGTTAGTGAGGTGCATATCATCACCTGTTTTCTCCTTTGTTGCTTATTCCTGCCTCAGACTCAGGCAGCTAGAGGACTTTGCCTGTGTAAACACATGATGGAGGAGGCTATGTGTGAACGTGCAGAATAAGATCAAGCACAAGTGGCTCTTCTGATGGATGATGAGCAGTTCCCTAATGCTTTCATGTATTGGCACTGGTGGGACTGTAGCATCCGCCGAAGCCCTACCATGAGCATAAGAAGCGTAGCTGAAAGAGAGCCTGAAATATAAGGTCTTGTATTGGAGGCCTGAGGCCTGAACTAAAGTAATCCTCAAAGCTTTGATGATATAAAGCAAAGTCAGGATACGGGTAAGAGGCTCTAGTCACAGAATCTGGTAAGAGCAGGGCTAATGGAGCAGAAACATACACTCCTAAGGTGTGCTAGGCACAACACTCATGCAAACACACTTCAGAAACATAATACGAGAAAAGCCCAATACCCAGTTGATAAAAACACATTCCCCAAGAACATGCTGACTTCTCTTGAAGATAAGGCCAGGACAACAGTGTATTGGATAGAGATATTTTGGCTGAACTAACATGTACAAGGTGGTGGCTAGTCAAGTCAGAGGCTGGCATTAACCTCATCAGGGGGCAGTAACTAACCATGTCAGAGGGGGACAATATGTAGCTTGTTTGTATTGATGAAATCTCAAAGGGAGTGTCTCTGTACGACGTGGAGTTAGGGAGAGACAGAAATCCCTCTCGTTCACTGAGCTGATTCATTGTATTGGAAATAGCTGTGTTCATGGTCCTGTAGAGCCTGCTGTATACTAGGACTGTGTCTTGTTGACAATAAACCTGGCCCAACCAATCTGAAATGCCCTGGATTCCTGTGCTCCTACCCTGAAATGTGCCAAATGTTGCTCCTTCTAAGGATACAGTGTTTCCTGTTTACGCATCTACCCTCTCCTCAGTCATGGTCCCCACAGTGACCAAGTGCACCCAGCAGCAACACTTCAAGGCCATGCGCTGGATTGTGGGTGGTGAAAAAACTGGGAAAACCTTCTCTTCCAAAGACACTTCTGAAATGCCCCACGCAGGTTTCCATGTGGCTCAGTAGCAAATATCACTAGATTAGATGTGGGGAGAGGATGGGAGGTATGATTGCAGTTAACATGGGGCTCCTCAGGGCAGGATGGGGATGACTTCCTCCCAGGGTGGGGGACATGGGCTGATGTGGAGGGGAGGCGGTTTGAGTAGCCCTGGACAGCTGACATCCGCCAAGCTCACCAGTCAGGATTGCAAATTCGGGAGGCCCTGACTGGGGGATGGGGCCATTACCAGTTGGGGTGGATCCTCTGAGGCTATATCTAGACTACGGAGTTTTTCCGGAATACCAGAGGTATTCCGGAAAAACTCCACCATGTCTAGGGAACACATCTACTCTTCCAACATTTTTTGCGGAAAAGCCCTGTAAAGTGCCTTCCCCGCCCCCCAAACCCATCCCTGTCCCACTTTGTACACATACACAGAGAAGATAGACAGGTGTGGTTTATTGCACAGTTGTATGTAACAAACAGTATAACTCTTCTGTAATGAAAAATAAACTTTTCGTTGACAAATTAAAGGCTTCCCTCACTCACTTTCATTGGTGGGAAGGGGGATGTAAACCGGGAAGCGGGGAGGGAGGCTCAGGGCTGCAGGTGCCACCTGGATGAATAGGTCCTGCCACCTCGTGTACGAGGGCCTGCTCGGAGACGGCCGTGTATGCAGCCTGGGACAGTAGGGGGCTGGGCAGGAGATGGGGCTGCACCAGGGTCTGGGATGGCACAGGATGGGGAGGAGAAGGCTGAGCAGGAACAGGGACAGGACCTGGGAAGGCCATCGCCTCCCGGATAGCAGCGCAAACTGCAGTGCGCTGCTGGACGAACTCGTCCAGCAAGC